ATGATTGAGAAGCATAAGCAGCAACCCTTTACCTTTAATCATTCTTTAATTCACTTTTGAATTGTTTATACAAAAAGATGGATTATCAGTTTATCACTTTAAGATGGGTCCTTGACTCCGCCTACGACAAAGGCTTCTTTGAAATTGTTGTAAACTTGTAATAGGATTAGGGTGTGCAAGGAAAAGATAGTAATCTAAAACGACATTTTGGTTCTTAGTGTTTCACATGGAAAATAGACTAGTCTTTGAATTCAGAAAGGAATAGTTGCAATTTTGTTGCTCAGTGATTAGGATGTGGGTTAAAATGATTTTTTTTTATTTCACGCAAAAAAAAATTTTTTGGCCCCTAGTATTTAGAAAATTAATCACTATGGTCCTCGAAATTCTATGACCTTTACTATATTAACTAATGCTAGGATAGATAAAGGAGAGCGGAGACGTTAACGTAGGATTTGGAGGCAATTATAAGCATCCCACTATCATTTTATTTTTTTTAATTGTAAGACAAAATTCTAATATATTAACCATGGTGCATGAAAAATCCAAACTTAAGTAAATCACTAAATAGATGAGCTATAATTCAATCATTGTAAATAATATTAGAAACATGAATTTCTTTCAGAATGGTGCCTAAACATCACATTGTTTTTTCTATTGTCAAATAATGGATTTCTGCAACAACATTAAAATTTTAAATGTTATTGTAATGCACGAAATTAGGCAATCTTTAGCACCTCTAAAAAGCTATTCAATGATCACCTTTAAATAAAAAAATAGTATAAGGGAATTTATTTTGCCATAAATGGTGAAAATTGCAAAATATTTAGTTGGGTAAAATACTAAAAAGCCCATTGTGATTAAGTGAATGTTCAATTTAGTTTTGTCGAAATGATAAGGGAGCGACGACATTGGATCATTTTCTAGTGAAAGGGATTAAATTTGTTTTTAGCAAAACAAAAAGATCATTTTGGTCCATTGCCCAAAACCATACCACAGAGAGAGATTTTGGACTTGAAAAACCAAAGAAAAGGAATTGGGACATCATGGACCCCTGAATGGTAAAGTTCTAATACTGAACATATGAAATAGGGAAAAGAGTCCCAATGGCCCTCCAACTCTTACCCAAGTAAAGTTTTGGCCCTCCAACAATTAAAGATACGTTTTTGGCCCTCGATCTAACAAAATAACATATTAATGGCCCTTCTGTCAAATTCAATAGTTAACTATAACCGAAAGCTTCATCTCGTAAGATGCGCCACCAAATATGAAGGGCACTATATGGTCTGTTTGGATTCCTTGTTTTTAGGCCTGTTTTTGAAAAACTGTTTTTCACATTCCAAATGCTACAGTAAATGAGTATTTCAAAAACAACTCCAAAAACACCATATCCAAACAATATATAAAAAACAACTCCAAATACATATTTAATATATTTATTTCAATTTGTATATTTCAATTATGTATAGGATATATATATTATATTAAATTAAATATATTTATTTATACAAATTATAAATATTTTATTTTATATAAAATATATTTTTATATAAATATTATATATTATATAAATTATATATAATATAAATGTAATTATACATTTATATATATTATATATTATATACTATATATTTAATATATACATAATATATATTATATATTATACATTTATATAAATGTACATTTATCCTTAATATATATTTATAATATACATTTATATTATTTATTATATATAATATAATACATTTATACATTTAAACATTTATATTAATATACACAATACTCCATTAACTATATATTTATACATAATATTAATATATTTATACATTTATATTTATTATATTAATACATTTATACATAATATTAATATATATTTATAATATATTAATTTATACATTCATATAATATTCATTTATAATTTGTACATATTTATAATAATATTATTTATACATTTATAAATATATTTATATTATGTAGTATGAATAAATAATACATTTATATATTTATTCATAAATATATAAATATATTTATTCATAAATATTTATAAATGTATTATAAATGCAAAAATGTATATAAATATAAAAATATAAAATTTATAAATTATAAATTATAATATACATTCATATAAAATTCATTTATAATTTATACATTTATAATAATATACATTTATACATTTATAATAATATATTATGTATTATATAATATAATACATTTACATATTTTTATATAATTATATAAATATATTTATTTATAAATATTTATAAATGGATAAATATATATAAATTTAAAAATTATAAATTATAAATTATAATATACATTTATACATTTGTACATTTATAATAATATACATTTATAAATATATTTATATTATGTATTATATATAATATAATACATTTATATATTTTTATATAAATATTTAAATATATTTATTTATAAATATTTACAAATGTATTATAAATGCATAAATGTATATAAATATAAAAATATAAAATTTATAATTTATACATTTATATAATATTCATTTATAATAATATAAATTAATACATTTATAAATATATTTATATTATGTGTTATATATAATATAATACATTTATATATTTTTATATAAATATATAAATATATTTATTTATAAATATTTTAAAATGTATTATAAATGTATATTGTTATAAAAATTATAAATTAAAAATAATCAAAAATATTTTTAAAAATACATCTAAAAATAATCCATAAAACATCTACAGTAAAAGTTTTTCATATAGTTTTTGAAAAACAATCCCAAAAACAACTAATCCAAACGGACTTGTATTTGAAAAACGAAATGCTACAGTATTGTTTTTGAAAAACAACCCCAAAAACAGCTAATCCAAACGGACCCATAGTCTCTTTGCCAAGGCAGAGTAAAAACAATTTCACCAACAATTTTTCCTCCAACAATTTTCACCCCCTTTGCTGTTAAACCCTAGTGCGACTTAAATCAGAGTACTCAATTCGGACGCTGCAGCGAAAGGGGTAATTGCCGGCGTGGAAGGGGTTGTGTAGGCATAAATGAAGTGGCAAATACGGAGGAAAGATGACTACTTTGATCCGTACCTTGTTTACGGTAATTGAAATTATTGTTTACTAACCCATTTGGGTTTGAGATTTGTTTATATGTTTGGGTAATGTGTACTGAAACTTATTTGTTTACTACATGCATGTGTAATGAGACTTATTTGTTTATATGTTGGGGTAATGGTGATGTTGGAAGGTTAAGTGGTCCAATTTGTGGTCCTACTTTGTTTGTTGTAAATTGACAATGTCGGATAAAGGAGGTTGTTTTGAAAGTGATGTATGTTAATGGCTGAAAAGGGACACTTTATTTGTTTAGGGTAATTTTTTTTTGGCTGAATACTGACCAATTCAGTATTTCATATGTCAGCCTCTGTGTGTTTTTTGTTGACAGTTTAATCCCAATTGCCATTGTAGAGCCTGATTTTGAATAGTTTACTATTTGGATGCATCATGGGGGCAGAATTATGTGGGAACAGTATGTATGGTATGCTAATGGAGAGGTGGACTATGTAGACCTTTGTGATGCCGAAAGAATGTCAACCATTCGACTAAATAAAATGGTAGAGAAAATGGGACATCGTAATGCTGCCATAATGTATTACTACTTTGAACCAAATAAGGATCTAACAAATGGTTTAAGAGAGTTGTGCACCGATGATGACGTTAACAAATTTTGTGCTTGGGCTTATAAGTACAAGGTAATGGAAGTCTATTGTAATCATCTAACAGTTGAAGAAATTAATAGTTGCAAGTCTCACATAGTGATCCAACCAGTACAGAAAAAGAAGACTGGTGTTTTGATAGAAGAGTTGGATGAGGAGGGTAGTGTAGTAGAGGAATCTATTTCTCACCTAGTTCCTAAGAGGAGGCTGTTAATTAGAGATTCAACTGGAGGATAGAGTCGAAGTAGAAGAACAGCCAAGAACCAGCATATTGGTGAACAAAGTGGTGATGCACAAGCATCTATTCATGAGGAGCATCAACCTGAGCAACAACTTGAGCAGCAACATGTGCAGCAACCTGAGCAACATGTAGGGCAATCTGAGCAGCAACCTGAGCAGTAGCATGTAGTGACTTCAACTGGAGGACAAAGTGGTGATGCACAAGCATGCCATAGCCAGCAGCATGTTGGAGAAACTGATACAGCACAAGAAGAATTGAGGTGTCAACAGCCTAATGAAGATGAAGGAAATGGAAGAGATGATGAAGATTCTGGATCAGAAAATGAATGTGACAGATTCAGTGGTGATGTAGAACACTGTAGAGATGAGGATCTTCTTGATGATTTGACAATGGAGCCAACTCAGTGTAGAAGCACCTTAGAAGAGGTGCAAACTGAAGGACCTTCACAGCAGGGAGGAGAAGCAACTGAGCAGGCTACTACTGAACATTGTACTACTGAATAGGCTACTACCCAAAAAACTGAAACACATAAGTCCCCAGTACAACAGCAAACACAGCAGAAAAAAAAAAAACAAGTAAGGCGAAGAAGAAAAACACAACAGCAGCAGCAGACCCAAGATTCTGCACCAAAAGTAGATGCGTTGGCAGAAGATACAATCCCAGATCATCTAAGTAGTGATGCTGATTCATCAGAGGAAGATCAAGAAACTGAGCAGTATGCTGGTAGGTATAAAGATTTTTCCTGGGAAAAATTTAGGATTGATACAAGGTTCGAGTTGGGTTTGAAATTTGAGTCAAGAGCCCAATTCAAAACTGCTATCCAAGAATATGGAATTAAGATGGGAAAGCCAGTATACACAAAGAAGAATGAACCAAAGAGAGTGAGAGCCAAATGTAAAGATCCATGTCCATGGTATGTGTTTGCCTCAGTTGAAAAGGCACTTGGCACAGCAGATTTGGTGGTGAAGACAATGTATGACAAGCATGAAAACTGTAATCATGCCTGGAAAAATAAAAATTTGAAGGCCAATTGATTATCAAATAGATATATGGAGAGAATTAGATCAAACACTCGCATGCCAACTCGGGAGATTAGGCAAACAGTGCATGAGGAGTATCAAACCCAAATTTCTAAATGGGTGGCTTCTAATGCGAGGAAATTGGCTCTCAAAATGATACAGGGGTCGGCTGAACCCCAATACAAGAAAATTTGGGAGTATTGTGCTGAGATAAAAAAGACACATGAAGGGAGTACAATGGAGATAATGTTTACTCCATTTAGAGGACCAGGGGGTAATCCTAAATTCATGAGGTTATACTGCTGTTTAGGACCACTGAAGAAGGGATTCAAGGATGGCTGTAGGCCAATAATAGGTCTGGATGGTTGCCATCTAAAGGGGATTTATAGAGGACAGTTACTAACTGCCATTGCTGCAGACCCGAATAATGGATGGTGGCCTATTGCCTGGGCAGTTGTGGAGAGAGAAGCAACTGAGCAGTGGACTTGGTTTCTCAAATATTTAAGTGAGGACTTGGAAATTGAAAATCAGTGCCACTATACTTTTATATCAGATCAGCAAAAGGTATGATATGAAACTTTGAAATTCAAATTTTGAATCAAATATGGTACAAGCTAACAGTGTATCATGATTTCATTTTAGGGGCTAGACAGGACACTTAGTGAAGTTCTACCTGGATGTGAGCACAGGTATTTTTATCAAGTTTTTTTTTGCATTATAATTTTTCAATTGTTTAATAACGACTTAAATGACTTTGTAAAAACAGGTACTGTGTGCAACATATGTACCGTAATTTCAAGAAAAAACATCCTGGTTTGGCTCTTAAAGATAGGATGTGGAATATAGCATGTTGCACAACAGTGGAAATGTACGACAAAGCAATGGAAGAACTTCAAACTTTTGATAAGGATGCATATGAATGGGTCAAGAAAGCTCCTCATCCTCGACATTGGTGCAAAGCATTCTTTCCAACTCACGTGAAGAGTGATATGATAGTGAATAATCTATGCGAGTCCTTCAATGCCCATATTAAATATGCAAGGGACCAACCTATCATCACAATGTTGGAACTGATAAGAGAATATCTTATGGACAGGATTCAAAGAAGACGAGCTGCAATGGAGAAATACAAGGGCTCCACTGGACCTTTAATTAATGAGATTATTCAGACTAGGGTCAAGCATTCAAGTCAGTGGATGCCCACTTGGAATGCACTGCATGGCTATCAAGTCAAGGGTCCAATAGGGGCCCAATTTGCAGTAGATATGCAAAAAAAATATTGTACTTGCAGATTATGGAGGTTAGTGGAGTTCCTTGCTGTCATGCAATTGCTGCTATCTTCATGCGAGAAGAGAATCCTTACAACTATCTGGATCGTTCTTATAGCAGAGGCCTCTTCTTCAAGATTTATGAGAATGTTTTGCAGCCAATTAGTGGCGAGAATCATTGGCCTTCATCCACCATGCCTGTGTTGGATCCACCAATACCAGTTACTCAACCTGGTAGGCCTAAAAAGGCCAGGAGAAGGGATGTGTCTGAGAGGAGGGATCATGGTAGAAGGTTGAGGAGGAGGATTGTCATTCATTGTAGAAAATGCGGTGAGGTTGGTCATAACACAGCTACGTGCAAGAAGCCTCCCAATGAAGAAGCACAACAAGGTTCTAACAAGTCATCCGAGGCTCAACCGAGTAATCAGCAGAGGCAGCAATCAGTAGAAAAAGAGAGGACAGTAAGTGCATGCAATTGCTGTTAATTTTTCACTATTCTGCATCCACCATGTATTTACATGTGTCATTTGCAATTTTGATAAAAATAAGGAACCAGGCCAGTCTTCTCAAAATTTGCAACAACAAACGCAACCGGCTAGCGATGAAACTGGATAGCAACATCCACAACAGAGCCAATAACATCATCATTCACAGCGAAGAAAAAACTCAGCTACAAAGCCGCTTACTGATGCAGAAAAAGGAGCCATCAATGCGAGCTATGCTTATTTGGGTAAAGAACCCCCATTCACAGTTGACAACTGGAGGGGGAGATGGAGTGGAAAAGGCAGAGGCAGAGGCAGAGGCAAAGGAAGAGAAAGACAAGGTGCCAGAGGAATGGGAGAAGGAACAACCACTAGAAGAGGAACTCAGCCATGATAGACCCATTTTTTTTTATAAACTCTTTTTGTTTTATGCTGTGTAAACTGATGATGACAATTCATTACCATATCAGAACATGTTTTTGTGTCTAGCAGTTCTTCTCTATTTTTTTTTGTCTAGCAGTTGCTTGTTGGATACATGCTGAGCAGCAACTTTGTATTATAGCAGTTCTTTTTTATGCTCATTGCCAAGTGATTATTGTGATGTATACAACATGGCTTTATCTGCTTCTTCTTCTTACACCATTATCATGCCTTTTTTCTAAGCACAATACCAAACAAATTCATTGAGTTGAACAAATGAACTACAACACTTTTATTTAATAAAAAGAGATGAGCAGATATTTCATTAGAACCAGCACAAACACAGATTTGATTACAAGCTTTGCAGATACATCATACAACTATAAATAAAAAATTTACATTAAAATGAACAATTTGGATCATCTTCTTCCCCTGCAAACTTCAACTTGGAAAGGGCCAGGTGTTTGCAAGTACCTTGTATTTGCCGAAAACTGACAAGGTTTCCATTTTTTTGGCCCCAACTCATCAAAATTAAACAAATCAATATCCATGTTACAAAAAGGAATTTGACCAGCAACTTATTAACCCATTTCTTGCTGCGAATGTCTTTCTCCAATTCTTTAACTTTTTCCTTCAATTTTGTTACTTTTCTTTCATTTCTTCTTGCTATTTCTTCGTATTCATCTCTGTCCTTTTCAGTTGCATTGATATTTCGAAGAAGGCCAGGTATAATTTCTGTAGCCCGTCGGCACATCTCCTCATCGATCCATGCCCAATATCCGCAGCAACCTTCTGCACACACAGCAAACCTTCGCCCAGGATTTTTTGAAGTCCACGAAGTAATCACCCTAGTCTCTTTCTCACATCTGCACATCGGTAGAGGGGAACTGTTCATTCTTCGCATTTTCAGCTCCAACTTTGACTGGATGGAGATTTTTGTTGCTCTAACTTAAGGTAAGAGAAGAAGCAACCTTTTTACTCTCTCTTTGCTTGGTCAACTATCATGTAGAGACTATAATACCTTTCATATTTGGTGTCGCGTCTCACGAGATGAAGCTTCTCGTCATAGTTAACTCCTGGATTTGACAGAAGGGCCACTAATATGCTATTTTGTTAGATCGAGGGCCAAAAACGTATCTTTAATTGTTGAAGGGCCAAAACTTTACCTAGGTAAGAGTTGGAGGGCCATTGGGACTCTTTTCCCTATGAAATATATTTTGTTTGAAATAGCCTTCCTATTATTATATGCTAGTAAAACTCAACTTCTTTTCCTTTACTTTTTTTTTTCCTTTTTTACATTTCAGTCCATAGAAGAAGCTTAAAAATTTTTCTGTATTGTTGTTTTCTCAAAAGAATTGGCTTAAACTTTCGTCCTGATGCATTTTATGGAAGGATTTGAAAGTAGTCTGAAACTTTTTTTTTGTTGCAGTTGTCTGAAACATTCAATTTTATTTTAAATTTCACATAAAATTGTAACAGTTGTTATATAGAAGGGTAAGACACACTGGTAAACTCAATGCGACGAGGTTGGCAGGAAAACATGATGCCAGCATTACAAGCTCAGCCAATTCAAGCGAATGTTGGGACATGATAGGGAGAAATATCTCGAGAGAGTCCATCAAAGAACTCAATATGTAAGTCAGGAATTCAATTCTGACCCAAAAGCTTAAGTTATTAGGTCTTGGGACTTTACTTACATATTAATCGCTCTTTCTCCATCTCTCGGACCAATATGGGATACAACGCTTTACTCATAAACCTAACAAATCTCCCCCTTCCTGAGTAACCCCCACATTAAATCTAAATTTACCAGCCCTTCGTTGAGCCTACTTTAATACTCAATGCAAACCTACCTTTATCACTAAGGTTACCTCTTTTCCCAAACATGGACCCACTCTTCTTCAACATTCAAACTGCACACTGGACCCTTGCCAATCCTTGGCTCTTTGGTCTAACATTAACCGGACCCCTGCCAAACTTATGGCGCACCTGGTCCAACACCAACCAAACTCCTTGGCACTTCGATCCACCATCAAAAAGAGAATTTTCACCGGTCCAACTCCGAAAAGAATCCACTTACCCATGAGTAGCCCAGTCTCACAACTTGAAACTTTGATACCAATTTGATAGGGAGAAACACCTTGAAAGAGTCCATCAAAGAGTCCAATATGTAAGTCAGGAATTTAACTCTGACCCAAAAGTTTAACTTATTAGGTTTTGGGCCATTACTTACATATTAATCTCTCTTTCTCCATCTCTCGGACCAATGTGGGACACAATCCTTTACTCATAAACCTAACAGGACATTCTTTATAGTACTAATAAAAAAGACATTGTGGATTAATTTATATTTTGAATCCTACTACAACTAACTTTTTCTTTTTCTTTTTCTTTTCTTTCATTTTTGTACATCACTTGCTAAGTGCTATTAACTGAAACATCAAGGGAGGTTGTTGATATTATCCTTATATATGCACATATATATGATAAGTGTATATTTTACGTATTTTTAGCATATTTTATTAATTAGTTTTGGTGTGTTTTATTTAATTTTATAACTAATTAACTAGGATTCTAGTGAAAAATATGTATTTTGTGGTTTGAAGTATAAAAATTGCATTTATATGAATTTTAATTGTGAAAACCTCATATTTTTGTAGGTTTAATGATTCAATCATCAAATGATATGAGTTGAGAAGATAATTAGATGATGAATGTGGCTTGAAGTGATAAAAAGAGAATATAAAGTGAAAAAAATGAAATGCAATCAAAGGATGAAATGCAAGTTAAGATAGCTTTGACACTTTGTAGTATTTTGGCCATATCTTAAGTTACAAGTATCGAATTGAGGTGATTCTTATATCATTGTGAAGCTACGAGATAGATCTATTTGGTGTGAAGACATCAAAGTCCAGTTTAGTCTTTTTCCTAGTCAAAAAGTCGAAATATAGAAGTGCATTTTCATGGTTGAAAGTTGAAACAGAGTTCTGACCAGTTAAGGATATTTTGGTTTTTTCTCGATTCACAGAGCTCCACTGAAATTTTAGTCTTTTTTTTTTTGGACAATTTCGCTAGCTTGTACTTCGCATTTAATACTCTGGCAGAAGAAAGAGAGACAACCATAAAATGGGTTTATCATTTTCTTCTGTTTGCTTGTCTTGAGTAAGCATTCAAGCACATTTAAAAAGATTTTCAAACGAACATAAAATTGAATTCGCCTTTTTTATATATTCAACGAATTTTTTTTTTACATTAGTAGGTTTGGATACATGACACATAATTTTTATTCAAAATATAGATTTCTATTTGTATATATAGCATGCAACCAAATTTACTTGTGCAAAAGAGTTTCTATGGAATAGAAAAGATTAAATTTTAAAATTTGAAAAAACAAATCACGAAAATTGAGATATTTGATTTGATTGGTCAATTGATAGAAGAAAGAAAAATTACAACAGGAATTTGATTTTAGGAGAGAAAAATGATTGCAATATTTGATTTGATTGGTCAGATGATTGCAATATAAACTTGTTTGTGTTTTTTTTAAGCTGATGCACAAAGGTATTCTCGTAGTTGTAAATCATTACTAGTTATTTTTTAAGTAATTAGCATTTTTTGTTCGAACCAATGACACAAAAACATTAAAGAGCTTTTCAATCTTTCAGTCTACTTTTTTCAAAAGGACTACATCGATCAATTTACAAAAGTTAGGAGATAAATTTGATGTATTGTGATAATTAAGAAATCACATAAAAAGGGTAAATTTGAAATGAAATTGGATTCTCTTTTCCAAAATGAAATTTTTAATATTATATTCTAAAACGGGTTTTTTAAATGCTACAAAAAGTTTAAAGTAGAAAAGCCAAGTAAGATTTTTCAAAAGTTAAGAGCGTCGAGTGAAAATGTAAGGCACCTCATGACACGTTTTTGAAAGTATGATAATATTACAAACACATGGTACACCCACGGCGCAACTATGAGTCTATGATAAAAAGCTAAATCACAAATGCACGGTTCAAACCAGTATATTAAGGAAGACAAGAAATCAGTAGGGAAGAAAAAAAGAAACTTACCTTTGAAGACGATCCCCACCTAGGAGGACACGGGTCCAACCAGTATACTGAGGAAAACAAGAAATCAATAAAAAGCTATACTCATTACCAAGAACATACGTGCTGCATTCATTAACCCAGTCTGAAGGAATGCATGCATGCATCAAAATCACTCGGCAACAAGGTCCCCCCACTATAACTTCTTCGTAATGCATCAAAATCAGTCGGCAGCAAGGTCCCCCCACTAGAACTTCTTCGTACGACCACCATCCACCGTTTCAACTCTAGCACCTAACGTTCCTAAATGATGATCGATGGTCAAATTTTGAATTGGAACCAATCCAAGGGTGCACAGATGGCTGGACCAATTTCCACGAAGTTCACGCGTAGCTAACAGAACAAAGGACCCCCAACTTGCTGGAAATTATTCCATAGCCAGTCCACATTCACTGTTCATAAGGCAACTCACACTTTCTTTCAGCATAATGATAGATAGACTAGTTTTGCCTGCCCGGACGCCATGCGTCTGGCACCTAGATTCGTTATTTTGCTGCTGTGTCATGTTTGTGCGTGTGTTTTTTCCTCATTATACGGAGAAACAAAAAGACCTTTGAAATCAGGTTATCTAACATTCTTAATACAACATTAATTATTGCATCGCTAAGCCAACGTCGGACTTAGACCATTAAATAAGACTAAATTCAATTGAAATGATCAATCATACTTTGAACTTTAATGTATCTAATAGGATATGGTTCTTTATTTATGGGTAATTTATATTTTCTATGATGGGTTAAAATAGGAATCTAAAAGATAATAAGAAAGTTATCTATAAATGGGGTTATGATTCATGAGTCACACGTATTCCTAAATAGGGTTATGTTTAGTGAATTTTTTTTTTTTTACATTAGTAGGTTTGGACGCATGACACATAATTTTTATTCAAAATACAAATTTCTCTTTTGTAT